TTTGTCAGGACCAGTGAATTCCTGCAGTCTCCACTGGTCATGGCCAAGAAAAATTTCAACACTTTAAAACTATGATTTGTTGTTTTTACATGTCATTTTTCGAACAGATTCAACAAACGAGATACAACATGTTAATGAGACACTTCAGTGGACAGATGTATTGATCTGTGGACAGAGTCAGGTCACTGACTGCTTCCAGTCTTGGTGAGAAACTCAGTCAGTTGGCTGCTGGCACGAGAGCGGTGTTCATCTCAATTTTTAACCTTTTGGAAAAGCATGTGAGCTTTGTATTTCCAAAAATCTCAAACTATTCCCTTCAGTTAAAAAGCCTAAAACTGCCGCAATGAAAGGTATACAAACTCAATAATCAATAATCTGTTATATACTGCATGGACTTCTTTGAAGGAACATTCAAACTTGCATCATGTTCGTAAACAATATAGAATAATAAAGTGACAGAGAGCGTTAGTGATAAGAATCAAAACTGGATTTCAGCTTTATTTCCTATGGAACAACATCTTTTTGGTTTTTGATCTGATTTTGTCATTCATTAAAAAAAGGGGAGGGGGGGGGTGAGTCAGGGGAAATCATGCAAACAAGATTGAGTCAAAATGGATTCTTAAGAGTCTGTTTGACATGACTGTTTTATCTCTTCAGATTCTGTCAGTCATATTACAGAGGACATGATTATCATCGTCAGAGGCGACGAGCGAGATTCACCTTCTGTTCAGATGATCTGAGCGATTTCACATTTCACTGTTACAAACCTCAACACACCAAATTTAGTTTTGGGATTTAATTTTTCACTTTTAAAGAAGTTTATATTCTTATTTCCAACTTCCTTGATGGAAGATTGGAGTTAAAAAATATCCTTTTTTAAACCCAAGTTCTCTCAGACAGGGATTGTTTGAGTTTTATAACCTCACGCACACAGCAGAGAGGACTTTAAACATGGCGTTTAATAAAATGCTTATGGTATAAATGTTGGTTGAAGTTCATCCTCTGGATCCTGACAGACGTGAGCAGAAAGTGAATCTTCTCTGAGCTCTGGTTCATATTCACATTTGTGTTTTGTCCTTCACTGAGTCAAACTATTTCACCTCAGTCCCAGATACATCATATAAAATCCCATTGTTTGTATTTTTCTATATACAGCACAGGATGAATCTGCATTTTGAACAAAGAGACGTTTCACTGAGACACAGCACTGTTTCACTCTTAGTGACACAAACACGTCTGTGAGAGCTTCTGGAAGAGCAGAAGGTTTCACCTCCAAACACCTGGACTCATTATCAGATCTCAGATCAATAACTGAAGAGGCTCCTTTCAACATCTGGAAAAAATATCCATAGGTAAACGCATCTGGACGACAGCTCGTCACTCCACTTTAGAAACTTTCATGTTAAACTTATCAGATAGATCAACAGCAGATATTACTCCATCTGTCATAGAGGTTCATCACATGACTGTGGGTTAAGTCACAGTTTTTCTTATTATTTCCACATGTGAAATGTTGCATTAAAGTGAACTTTTTTTTTTCGTCATTTTCAGAATCTGGAACCTGTTGCCAGATAATTACAACTGTCATCCACCTTTTTAAATGATCTCTAGAGCAGCAACATGATGCTCCTGCAACACTGTGTAACTTCAAACAGACAGTAACAAAATGGGAGAGTCCAAGAATCGAACAGGCTCTCTGTCAAAGAACTACCGTGGTCTGATTCCCTGGTGCCGACACCGGCCTGAAGCTGGTCTGACTGAGGCTGGTTCTCCGCCAAGCCAGATATGGCAGACATTTATGGGCCAGGACCGGCTCACCTTTGTGGATACTAGTTTCCAATGACAATAAAACTATATATTTAATTTCTCCTTGTGTGTTAACATTTCTACTTACAAGCCTGTAACCAGTGTCATAGAGAAATACACTGATCCGCCATAACATTAAAACAGGTGACTGGTTTTATTGTTGTGGCTGATTGGTGTAGATCCTGTTTATTCTCAATCATTAGTAGTTACTTTGAATTATTTTCCACACAGATCAGTCACAACATTAAAACCAGTCACCTGTTCTATTGTTGCGTCTGATCGGTGAAGGTCGACATGACACAGGTTCACATGGAAACAAACATGACAGATGAGAATAAACTTGATGGAAACATCTTCATATCTTCTGCTCATCAGCGTTTTGTATTTACATCGTCTACAGATCCTCAGAGTCATTTTTAAACTCTTCCAAATGTTTGTGTGATAAAAGTAAATCAGTTTTCCTGCAGTGAAACGTCCCTTTTACTTTTGGTTTGGGCTGTAGATTCACATCCACCAGGTTCAACACTCTGTTGGTCTTTGGGAGGAGAAGTTACAGTTTTTTACATTTATTATCATTATTAAAGCTTTTTTAACTCTCAGGCACAAAAACCTATTTGGTGTTCACGTAGTAACTGTGCTTTACCCTCACTCGTTTGAGTACAAAGTGTATCGTAATGACACAGGACTATTTACACATCTGAGATTGCTTGTGAATGGACTCAAACTTGCATTGCGTAGCAAATATAATCTGTGAGAAGACACGTGTCATGAAGGAGATAAATTTCAAAACCAAAAAACATTTGCCCTTCTTGGATTTTATGATCAGATGATCAGATGTCATCTCTGAACAGATGGAAACAAAGTGAGAAACTTTCACTCTGAAAATGTTTTAAATGCCAACATGAGAAAAAAAAAAAACGTAAACTGACTTTAACCAAGTCCATTTAAAACCGTGCTTCAACATATCAACACCTTTCTTAATGAACTGTGGGATTATTTCTATAAGAAATCACATCTATCATCTCTTCAGTATTTCCCTCCACTCCGCTCCATCATTCTCTAACATCAGAGCTGCAAAAATTAAATAATCAACATTTGAAAACAAAAGTGCCCGAAGCATGATATGAGCAAGAAGATAAATATAATTTATGTTTCTTTTGTCCCTTCTTTTGCTTTTCTGTTATTTTTTAGTTATTTTTTTTTACAATACATACTCCTCGTCTTTTGGTTTGGTTCATTTTATGATGTAAAACTCGAGCGTCGTCCTCGTTTGTGTTGTTGCTCGTTGTGCATTCTCAGTCTGTTTGCTTTGGTCACGCCCTCCTTTGGCATCGCTGTTGCAAAAAGAAAAGAAGAAACCGAGAAGTAAAGCTACAGACAGACCATCAGTCTGAATTTTTTGGTATTTCATTGTTCTTGTCCCGGTTTCAAGAAAGAGTTTTCTTTGGAGGGAAACATGATGGAACATGATTCCCAAAAGTCTCCAATAAATATCCTCGTCCAAAAAAACTTTTTGTTTGTTAGTCCGCCTCCTCCGTCTGAAAGGTCGGCCGCGCCGCTGGAAGGAAAAGGATCTTTGGTTTGGTTGAATCAGGATTCTCTCCAGCAGGATGAACGCAGCTTGAACGTCGTTCCTCTCCAGAGTCAGTCAGTCAAGTCAGAAAGCTGCAAACAGTCAGACGACGTTCACACTCAAGACGCCAAATCTGAAAACACTCAACTTCATGTAGTCGTCCTAAAGATCTCCGTCCGCACTGAAACACCAGGAAGACAACAAAATCTGTCTTCACTTTCCTCATCAGCACCTGTGATGTGTTTGAATACAGACCAACTGATAAACTGATAAACTCAAATATTTTCATCAAATATTGCATAAATATTGTGATTGCAATATGAGTCACAATATCAATTGGAATTTTAATTTCTGCATTTTATTTTCACTTAAAAAACATAAAAAACAAACAAACATGTTCCTTTATGTGTGGTAGCGGTTGAGCTTCATTTATAATTATATGTTACAAAATTCTGACAAAATAAATGTAAAATTAAATGTTTTTACAAAGACTCAAACTATTGTGCTGGATTTTTAAATAAAAATGCAAAATAATCAATTAATAATGTAAACAATGTTGAAGCTGATGAGAACTTTTACTGTGTCACAGTCACAAACATATTTTTTCAGATTAAATACCTTTCAAAGATCATGTGACACACTG